CACACACTGCACAGCCAAATTGCTGGATACTCTTATGTAGCCTGGCTGTGATCTTTGACTTGAATTTCTGTATGGGTTTTTGTACCTGAATTGTAAGTGTGACACTTCCCATCTGTTCCCATGCAAGAATTCCCAGAATACCTTTTTTTCCTACAGATTTCTATCATTTTGTGGCTTAATGCCATGTCTGGCATTCACAAGTATGGTCCTGCCTTGTTCATAGTGGCTCAGAAGATTACAGCTGGGACTAAGCCTTTGGACTTTTCACCCCCGTTGAATCTTTCTTTGATTCCTGTTCTCAGTCACACAAATGCTCGACCATTTTGGTTTCAAGGTCCCCTAAGATTTCCTGTCTGTATGCATAATTTTTCTTCTTCTAGTGAAACGCCAACTTCTATTCTCCAGTAAAGCAGTGGTGATATCTTTTTGTTTTCACCTTTTTAGTATTTTCAAATGAGTGTTGTGCTGCAGTGTTGATAGACTTCTCCATAAATACCGTTAAAGCTGCCCTTCAAACTTCTGAAGGCTCTCCTTTAATGCAATGCCCAGAGACAAATGAAGGACGATGGAAAATCTTGGATTCTGTCACTATGAACAGTATTATCTCATCATTTCCTCACATACTCTGTTTCTGTTTGTGTCCAGTTTTCTTTCCCTGCCCACCCCCAACTCATGGTTAGCCTGGGTAGCTTTTGAGCTCACCTTCTCCTCTCTGTTGGCCCAGCGTGTGTTGCTCAGCAAGTCCTCTGTCCCTCTGTGACTTACTTCTTGGTGCTTCAGAACACAAATACAAAAGTGACTGGATATCCTTTTTTATACAGTACCCAGTGAGCCTGGGAGATCAGTAGCTGTACAATATCACTATGACTAAACTTTTATGGAATCTGGAAATGGTGTATTTATGTTGCATAAGAATGCCTAGAGTTATTTCTAAGTGGAAAAAAGCAAAATAGAAGAGATAGATAAACCTTGTTCTTCAGGGGACAGACTGACCAACTAATAGGAAGAAGTGCACTTTCTGAGAACATCTGTTAGCTTCTTACTGCATAGTGTTTTGCATTGTTTGAAAAAAGGTTAGTGAGAACTTCAATCAAAATATCCAGCTCTGAGTCCCACTTTCTCTTCTGGAATTCAAAAAGGACTTTGCTTGGAAACAAGCCTCATTGTGATTCTCTGGAGTTTTGGGACAGGGCCTTAACACTTGGCAATAAGGAATCAGGTAATTTCAATATACTGTGAAGCAAAATTCAATTTTAAAGTGTGAAAAATAGGTGTAAAATTAAATTGCTACTTCTAGTTAATGCTACTTTAAGCATCTGATGCAATACGTTACTGGATTAGGTGGATCTGATCAGTCATGGCAGTTTGTGTATTCCTGTCAAACCCTCTGGTTGTTCCAGAGGAATTATTTTTAAGTATTGTACGAGTATTTTAAAAATGACATACAGAGGTTGAGATAAGGAAGCTAGTTCTTTACTTGCTTTGGAGGCAGTCTGCTATCTTGTCTAATCAGCTTTTATCAGTGGAATGGTTACACTGGGAAACAGGCCAAGAAAATAGGGAAGAGAATGTAACATCCCTAGTGATAGGGCGGGTGGTTCATAGTGCACTGGGACTAGGAGGTCCCAGTAACACAGCTGGTTCATCCCATTAATCAAAGTGCTGTTAGGTTTAAAATGAGCTTATTGAAATGTTTTATTTTATTCCAATCCATAATTCTGCACAGTTGTAACGTTTTTCAATCCAATCTCTTCCTTGCAACTTTCTGCTCCTTGACAAAGTACAGTTGTCAAATACTGTGTGTTGCAAAACAACAAATTTTAGAAGTTCAGTGTAACTGAGGTGGTCTTGGTGCTTTATCATGTTATCTGATTAAAATACATTGGAAGTTCTGTATTAGGTGCATACTAACATAGTGCTGCCTAGGAGACAAAGTGTATGCATGCTCTCCCTTTCTTTTTCTTTTACTCTCATATTTTTCAGGATTAGTGTTAAATTCTCCCAGTTGTATTTAGTAATGCTTGTGATTCTTTTGTGTTTTGTGACTGAAAATTCATCATAACTGGTGCCTAATCTGCAGCTTTGAATTGGGCTCTTACTGTAATCACATTTTAAACATGCACTAGACCTGTTTGAAGGGTCCTTAAAAAGTTGTTTTTTCACTACAGAGCTTATTTTTTAAAGTTGAAAACAAAAATTTGAAAGCTGCTGGAATGGCACTCTTATCTAATTAGTTCTTCTTTTCACCTGACTTATCTGCCCACAAAGGAGAGGATGTGTCCCAATTCAGTCATGGAACTGTCTGAAAGCCTGAAACAGATCCCAGGCTGAGCCTTGAGCTTTCACTCTTCAGTTACTTGGGGATTGCCTTTGTGCTTTTGGTTTCTATTTTGGTTTGGGTAGAATTTGAAAGTGTCCCTAGGAGAAATGATGTATTGCCTAAACTGGGATAACAGAGGCCAAGCCACTGGATTTGTAGAGTTGTCCCTGGCAACTCCCTAATCTGCCTATGCCTCAATTCCCACATCTGGGGAGTGGAGCGAACATCCTGCTTTGCAAATATAAATGGAAACTCCTGCCTCTTCCTCAAGACACTTGCATTTTTTTGGCAAGACATCTATGTACAATAGTGACAATGATTCCTTTGCTGCCTTTTGGGTGTAGCAGTCATGAACAATCTGTCTGGAGCTACAAGGTACTCCGTTGCTCTGATGAGTGAGAATGAACCAGGAATACAATGTAAAGGAAAACCTTGATAGCTGTATCACAGTTAATCATTAAAAAATTGTATTAAAGCCCTTTATGCAAAATACATTTCTCCTTTGATGTCTATCATTAAACTACCTTGTCTCCTATCTACAGAAAAGAAAAATCTTAATGTCTTCAGTAGAGAAATAACCCAGGAAGCTGAATAGTTGAGTCATCCCTTGTTCCTCTAAAACACGAATTTTGCTTACAGCTCCTAAAAGTGCTGAGGACAAAGGTGATGTGAAAAGCAGATCTCCATAGTACCCCAGAACTTAACACCTGATTAATATTTTAATTAGATTGTTGCTGGCTTTGGAGACCTATGTGAGTTGCCCCTTCTTGACTGATAAAGTGTAAAATGGAGACCTGTTGGGCAAAGCAGCTTCCTGGTACTAAGGTAGCCTTGTCCCTACAAGGGGCAGTTGCCTTTGGTCTGCTGCTGCCCTGTCTTTGTTATTTCTTGGTGAAGAAACACCACACAGAAGTCTGTTGATCGGAATATTTGCTCTGAAGATTGAGAATGAGGAAATGTTTATACTCTGTCACAGATTATTTATTCATGTATTTGTTTCCTGAATGATCCCCACCCAGTTACTTAATCTCCTTATAAACTGGCCATTTATCTCCAAAGTCAAGACTGTAGGCTTACTGTATCACTGGAATCCCTGTGGAAGCATCTGAGTTGCTCAGCCTTTCCAGCAGTGTGGACAAAAATAAACTAAAGGTCTGGTTTCTCTCTGTGACATGATCTTGTATTTCCTGGGCAAACCTGTTCAAGCCCCTGCTGCGATTACTGTTTTTCACCTTGAAAAAGTTTCCCAGTTTCTCAGGAGTGCTATAAAGAAACTTTTATCCATACTAGTGAGCCATAGTGTAACAGTATTGTGGGACAGGAACTGCAACTGCTTCTGCTTGTTTCTGCATCCTGTAAAACCAAAGAACTGCATGGACTGAGTATGTACCAAAATCTCAGGTTTTCCCTTTAGTACTTTGAAGATTTTGGGAAAACGTATACACTGTTTTATACATGGAGGGTTTTTCTACATAAACCTTAATGTGAAAGTACATTGGAAGATGCTTCAGGGACAGGTTTTTTCATTTTCCTTTATGAGTAAAATTATTGAAAGCCTTCCAACTATCTGTCTCATTTATTCAGAGATTCCACTGACCTTTTAATGTGTTACAAAGCTCACCAATCCTATGCCACAGGTATTAGCAGAGTGTGTCAGGTCTTGAGTGTGCTAGAAGCTAGATAATAGCTTTTTTTATTATTATTCTCATCTACTGAATTTATGCAGTGCTAAAAAATGCTGCAATTTAAAAAGTAGTTAACAAAATTACCAGAAGTCAAATTTTGCTGTTTTCATACATTACAGGGTATTCTACTTGATTCTGACTAAATGTCCAGAAATTTGTAGCTTATCACAAATTGAACTAGTGGACAAGCATTTGTGTTTGATAAAAAATGGTGATTCTATGAAATTCACTCAAGAGTACTGTGCTTGGCTGACAATCTTCAAAATGGCCTGATTTTCTAAGTGCAGACAAATCCAAAATACACATTCAGTGGAAAATCAGTAGTTCTTGTTCTCCATTGTTTAATTTTTTGTTTTACAGTGTTACTCAGTCTTTGAGGATGCATTCTGGAGAAAATAAAGCAATGAGTATGACTGGCAATAAAATATTTGTGAGTTATAACCTTAGAAGCAGTAGGTTGTTTTCAAATAATGTATTTTTCCCATAGAAGACGTGAATTTTTGTGTTTGTTTATTGGCAATATCATTATACTGCATTGTATTTAGTGTAAAGTAGGACCCCCACTCTGGTGAACACTGTATAAAAACAGAAAAATAGGCAGCCTGTGCCCTGAATTGATTACTGTTTAAGCATCAGTATTGCCAATGGAACTTCATTAAAAATATAAATCTTGATCATGCAGCAATGGAGTGTTTTGCAGTTGATCTGAGAAAAGCAAAGGCTTCACTAATTACCTTTTTTGGTAAAGATTCTTCTCAACAGCTGCATGACATTTGTTTGAAATCATCAACACATCACTTCAGATAGAACGTGAATGTGAGCTGAATGTTAAATTAATTCAAGTTTGTGAAATTAGCACTGCTCTCTGCTTCCTCTCACAGCTTTGCACAAACACACATTTTCTGTTGGAAATTAAGTGGTATATTGGCATAAATACCTTCCAGTTGTAAATCCTGCTTTTAAAAATTGAATCCTGCTTTCATGTGTTTCTCCAGGGCTAGCTGGAAAGATTATAAAAGCCATCATTGATGAAGGATTTCAGATCTCTGCTTTGCAGATGGTAGGTTTCCTTTTGTGTGTGTTTTTCTGATAAACAGAAGTTGGAGAAGTGCTTGTATGTGCTTAACAGCAATGCACAGGTGTCTTCTTGCAATACAAATCCCATGTGCAGACTGTGTAGCAATGTTTTGGGATCAGCATTGTCCTTGTGATATTTGTGGTTTATTATTGGATTGATCATCTGATCTGTTTCTCACTGCTGGGTGACCTTGAGCCAAGACACTTTTCCTCTCTGTAGCTCATTTTCCCTATAGTTAGAAGGGGGATAATGATATTCCGTCTCTTCTGGAATAAGTTGAGATATCTTTACAAAATGTTCTAGCTAAAATTAGAGTAATGGTTGTTAATATCCTTCCTTATTTTTTAAATATATATATGTATGTATGCATATATATTCAGTGTGAGTTTAGGGGAAGGTTTTTAAAGATACTTACAGATACTTACTTTGACACCCTGATCACTCAGCACAGGAAACAGGAAATTGGCACAGAGATTGTTCCCAAGAGTAGTCCTGTAAGTGCTGCCCTTTGATTTTTATGACAGTCTCAGGGTCTGAAATCCCCCTATGACTCAAATCTTCCCCTTAAATGAAGAGCAGCCCCTTTCCTTTACTGTACCACAAACAGCTCCTCTTGCATGTCTTAGTGGCATCAGCCAACACTACATTGTCTACTTATATTTAAGGTGGAAGAAGGTACCATGTGCTGTGTTGCCTGTGATGTCATTGGCTTTGTTGTTGACCAACTTCATTTTGCAGCTGTAAATACCTGGTATTAAAAGTATCCTGGATGTTTGCTGGTTAAGAAGGTGTGTCTGTCTAGTTGTTGTTGTTGTTGTTGTTGTTGTTGTTGTTGTTGTTGTTGTTGTTGTTGTTGTTGTTGTTGTTGTTGTAGGCAGACTGGCTAACACCTTCATTTTCTTAGTTCAACCTGGAGCGTACAAATGTGGAAGAATTTTATGAGATTTACAAAGGTGTCGTCGCTGAATACATGGTAAGCATAAGTTTGAGAAGAATCTGTTAAAAAATAAAATGTGATTAAATGAGGAAGTGGTCACATCTTTCCTTGTTTGGGGTTGTTTGGGGTTGTGATAGGATTCCTTTTAGGAACCTGGTATTGACCAGCTGTAGCTTGTTCTCAAATAAATTAACTCATCTTGAAAAATACACTATTTATGTTTTAAGAAAAGAAAGAATTTTGTGAAAATTGTTCAGCCAAGCTATTTGTAAAATAGAGAGAAAAAAAGCAAAAAGATTAATTATTGTGACAGAGCTGTAAGAATGTGTCACATCTGTATCTTTGTTTAATTTGATATGACAGTAGTGGCTTGGACCAGAATATATTTTTATTATTTTATTTACAATGGGGCTGCTCTATTTGAATGCTTTCCTAATGACGTTTCGAGCTATTCTTAAGTTTATTGACCTGACTTCTGTGGATCTTTAAAGATTTAAGAAGTTTAAGGCATGTGATAATCCCAGTGGATGTCTGAAACTGTCTATATTATTATAGTAAATAAAATTTCCTGAATGCAGATGAAACGAGGAATAAAAGATCTTGGGTTTCTGTGTCACAGAATTGTGGAATGGTAGGGGTTGGAAGGGACCTCTGGCAATCATCTAGTCCACACCTCCTGCTAGAGCAGGATCCCCTAGAGCAGATAACACAGGAACACATCCATGCAGGTTTTGAATGTCTCCAGGGATGGAGACTCCACAACCTGCCTGGGCAACCTGTTCCAGTGCTCTGTTACCCTCTATTACACTTCTGTGTCACCTTCTGTCAGAGGACTTTGGTTTATTTTACAAATAGCAATGAGTTTAGCTTCAGTGCCATGCTATGGATTTCATGAATTATCCTTAAATCTTAAAGGGTTAAATTATTACAAGTTTTCTACACAGTTACTGACATTATTACAGATAGTTAGAAGTATTACTCTGATAATAACACTTTTATTTTCTTCCTCCTCCCTCCCACCCTTATGAATGTTTAGTCTAGCTTCAACAAGGTTTGTAAATTTGTCTTTGCATTGGTTAGGAATACTGTTAGTTCACTCTCAGATAGGGCAATATTCTTAAGGTCTCCTCTGATAACACCATTTTTGGCAAGGACCAAAGGGTGATTGCATTGGACAGATTTGTATGTACATGGCAAAATTCAAATGTGATACTATCTGACCAGTATTTTGGGGCCCAAAGAATCCTGTCATACTGCAAAAGTCTCTGCTTTGAACCATATTGGAATTTCTCTACCACCCTCTGCAGCACTTTTGTACAATCTCTGACCCCCTAATAAGCTGCAAAATGTTAGTTATTTAATTGGAGAGTTACTTGGAAAGGAAGGTGACATTTAAACAGGGAAAGTCAGTAAAGAAAATACATTTTTAATGGGTTTTGAAGAAAAGTGAGAATCTAGGGCTCTGGCCTGCAAGCCATATGTGCTGATGCACTCAGTTGACTTTAAATGAAATAAGAAAAAAATAAAATTAGTATCTCCATTCACTCAGGATATCTGTGAAACAGGAAAATGTGGGAAAGCTAATAATGATGGTAAAGTGATCCAGAGAAGGCACATATGGGAACAGCAATAGATCTTGTCAGTGCAGGCCAAGGAAGAAGTATGTTGTGAAATAGGATATTGAAGAAAGAATATGACCTCTTGTATCTGTGACTCAGAACCATCTGTTTTGATCTGAATTCTATTTATCATTCAAAAATAACTCAGCACTGGAGATACTTGGCATCCAGAAATCCTTTTCAAAACCTGTACTCCTGTTTCTTCTGGTTATCCTTTGTCAGTCAGATAAGGCTTGACATGATATAGAAAGCACTTCTCTGTGAAAAGAGAAAGCTGAACAATTGCCCAAAATTTTATCTTTATTGGTATCTCCTTCATGGGATTTTGCATACAATTCATTATTTTTTGTGCTGTTTTGCTTTGTATTTCCTACTGTAGCCAGAATAGAAAAAGAGGAAAAAGGGGGAGATTAATTTGGGTCAGCTCAGAATCCACTTTGTTAGTAAAAAAATGCTTGAGCTTGATTGAGCTTCCAGGAATGGTTTTAGTTGGTCACAGCCATCTTATTTAATGAATAAACTATTTGCCAAAGAAAATTTGATTTAGCTGAAACTGAAGATCTCACTAGAGAAACAGCGTCTGCTATTTTAGTTCAACTCTGGACTTGCTGAGGATGTGTGAGGTAGACCAAGCTTGTCTCACGTACCACCTGCCTCCGTGTGGCTGGTCTTCAGTTCTCAGCTTTCTGTTGTAATAAAAGAGTCAGAAGTAACTTTGCTCACATTTTTTCCTGTTGCTGGTGGAATGTCAGTGCTGATACAGAAACAATAGAAAAGGGAGGAACAAGAAAAAAGTTTGCAGGGAGTTCAGTTGATTCAATTAGTTAAAAGCCAATTTTTTCTCCACTTTCCTGTTAACAGTTATTTAGATGACAGAATTCCATGAAATTGTACAGAGTACTGACAATTTACTTTCTCTTAGCAGGGAGAAATGTATTGCTCTTTGACCTGCTCTTAACAGAGGATCTGTTGGTGATAGAGCATGAAACTAGTTTGCACTTTTTTCATGTCCTTTCAGGAGTGCATCTATGTTTCCTAGGATCAGGTTGATGATAGGGGCACTTGGCTAAAATTCTATCCCATTGACTTCAGAGTGGGAAGATTAAGCACATGCTTTCCATGTGGAATCTCTTATAGAGATAGCCACTCTTTGGAACAATGCTGCTTGGCTTGGAGTCTCTATGTGTTTAGTTTCCATTGCAATTCATGAAAGGCAGATAAGGACTTAATTCTAATTTTCCTACTGCTTTCTTGCCCATTCTTTATGCTCTTGTTCTTTGCCATGGCTCAGCCTTGACCTGTCCATGGCTGGTAGGTATGATTGCAATACCTTGCTGGTCCTTCCCTGTCCTCCCCTATTTCCTGTGATTTTCTCCTTTCCCCTTTCCTCATCGATTTTGCTTATTTTAGTTGTCCTGATTTGTTTAAAACTTGCCTACCCAAATTTCTAGACAAGTGTGCAAACAAAAGGGCAGGTTTTAAAAAAGGAAGTCAGACTAGAACATCAATAATGGGTTTTCTGTTTGTGAAACCTAGACCTCTAATTAACAAACTCCAAATTGGCACTAACGCCCAGAGTTAATTTAAGCTTATGAAAATTAAGACCCATCTTCATCACCCACTCACAACTCATAATGTCTCTTTACTCTCCAGGAGGCTCTAAGGAAACATTATTTCAGTGTAACTGAGATTCTGGTAACAGTACACCACAAGAATATTGCCAGATCAAGCACCCTTTCCCAACAGGTTGAGCCATAAGCCCCTTTCATTTTAATCTGTTGGCTTGTGTGTTTCAGCTTCCATAGTAATACATGGGGAAAACAGAGTAAGAACCAAAAGCCCAAGAGGCATTTTAATGATTTAAAGCCATCAAACAGGTGTATATTTGGAAACAAATACAGGCTGTGTATTCTGCTCCCTGTAGGGAACAGTGCAAAGTACATTGCTGCCTCTGGAGCTGGCTGAACATAGGGTGGGTTTTCTTCAGGCTTATACCCAGCAAAGAGTGATCCCTTGATTCAGTCTAGTTTGACAAGTTATGGGATACTTACGTGAAATCCAAGTTGCAGATCAATGAGGATGTACTCACAAAAGAATCTAGAGTGGATGCTGTTGCATGCTATTCATTATCCCATTAAAGCTAAATATCCAATTTGCTTTAGTCTCCACTTTCTAAAACAAGTGGCAAACTGGAAGACATTTCTTTTGTTGTGAATATTGGTGATACCTTTGTTTCATGCCTTTGCTTTCCTAAACACACCAATATTTCTTAATTATTCCTGCCTTGTAAGTTTGGGTCTAGTTTTGGGGAGGAATACAACCATTGCTAATTCGCAAAGATGATCAGATTTTTTCTGTCCTTTTTCTCTTCCAGGACATGGTTACAGAGTTGTGTTCAGGCCCTTGCATAGCAATGGAGATTATACAGCCTGAGCCTCCAAAAGTGTTCAGAGACTTCTGTGGTCCTTCTGACCCTGTAAGTACTTACTTGAATGATAAGGAATGCTTAAAAAGTTGATGTGCTGTCTATGTGAATTAAAATGTTACAGTGTGGTATGGCTGACACATACCTGCTGCATTGCTTGGAAGCATGTATTACCTTATTATGGAGGTCACATGCTAGTCTGAGTGGACCAATTTGCAAATGCTCTAGCAACTCTTCTGATCTTAACTAAACTGGATTATAAGGTGATTGATACGTGAGAGGAAAGCTACCTAGGCAAAAATATCTGTTAAAGATTCACAAATATTTTAACACAAAGCTTAAGAGGCCTGGAACAAATAGTTATTTCTTGTGCATGCCAGCGTAAATAAAATGTTAGTCCACTATACTGTTGCATTTTCTTAGGATGAAACTGTTAAAAGAGAATTGGTTCCTTTGCTTTTCAGAAGGAAATTAACAAAAAATGGTGTAAAAATTCTTGTACCTGTTTGCTATGCTGATGCTCTACTTTTAATTTCTTGAGGTGACTGATGGGGCATGTGTGATACTGAGTGCAGTTTGGAGACAAGTGCTGTCTCAAAAAGTTTACAGTTTTTTGTTTATCAATAAAGGCTGTTATACCACACAGGAGCCATAAGGTAAAACACCAAGGTGGAGGCAATGAGATCAGGTTTGCATGTTTTTTTGGTTAAGATTTGCTGGTTTAGTTGCTGATTGAGTGGATTACCAGCTTCCATGGAAGAAGTTCACACATATTAAATTTGAAGGGGAGAACAAGTTATTTGGGATATATTTTTCTTCATAATTTCCATTACAGGAAACACAAATTAAAGACATTACCCAAACCCTTTTTTCCCTGCTTCTGTTTTGTAACATTCAAATGTTTCTCTGCTGGGTTAGCATCTTGTAAGCAGAGCATAACCAGTTTATATTACTTTTATCTGCAGGGTGATATATCAGTAGTAATGTACACAGTATGATGGCTTCAGTTTTATTTCAAATTCTGTGTTTAAATTTCTGGCCTTTAAAACTTTTAAATCTGTGATTGTTTTATTTGGACCTATTACATCTTCTTCATGTTTCTGCTTCTTTAATGCCTGATACATTAAAATAAAAATCTGCTTGCAAACATCACAGCTGCTTTAAGTCATTAAAGACAAGTGTAGCTATACAAGGGGAATTTCTCTGTCTTCCCTTGCTTTATCATTTAAAGAGCTCTGTCACAGCCATACAACGTGTGTGACCAAAGGAACTGTTCATGAGCTGGGGAACTGGGAGATGTTTAACTAATGGCTTTGCTGGGTAGCACAAGAGTACAGCAAAGGAGGGAACTAAATTCCTGTCTCTCAGATCTCTTCCTAGCAACCTACCTACACTGTTTGTGTTTCCCTTTTAATGGTTAACTCTGTGACTTGTGAAGTGAAAATGAGTACTTGACTGCTTCTAGTGGGAGCAGGAGGCTGCAAGTTTTGGACACTGACTCCGTAGCAGTTACACTAATGGTATGTTTAGAAGACAGGCAGCTGTGTTATATATTTTTGTCAACTGTTTTCTGAAGAATTGCAAATTATTTGATTCTTTAGGCACATAAAACATATGTACAGTAACTACAGCTGCTCTCAAAAGTGATCTTTGCCTGAAATTTATCTGTCTTTTCAGATAATGTTTGTAGCTTGTCCTTGAGAAAGAAAGAACTAAGGTATCTCAGTGGTCTTTTGTCATTCCCAACCAGATTAATCAGAGAAGCTCACAACTGAACTTTGTGGTAGTAGAAACCATAGTGGCAGTTTCACTAACTAGCAAGGTTATATGCATGAATATACCATGGACTTGAAATTCCAGTGGTTAAAGTAAATCTAAGTGTTCCGCGAAGATCATATTATCATTGAGAGATCTGGATCTCTCTGTAACTTACTTGTTTGTTTATATATGCAAAATCCTGATGTGTATACAGCCTGTTTATAAACACAAGTGAAACGCAAGTTTACTAAAAAATGTTAAATAGTATCCCATTTGGAAAGTAGTGCCATTGAAATACCTGTGATTACTCTCAAAACAAGGTCCTGTTTGAAGTGAGTAAAGATGTTGGAATTTGACTTACATAATGGATCTCTCCCAATCATGTGTGTGTTTAATTATATCTTAGATACATAGCAAAAGTAATAATTCCTTTGTGGCAGGTCAGGTATCTGTACTGAGTGTGAATGTTAAGGGCCCTTTCAGTCAGTTTTTGGTTTTCCAGGGAGGCAGTTGGGGTACACTTCCATAAAAGGCATCCAAAAAAGGTGATACAGATTTTCCCAAATCAAAGCAAGATGTCATTTAGAAATAGGTCTGGTTTTGTCCAAGTCCCTTGATGTTTAGGGCTGAAGGAAGAATTACTGTTGTTCCATTTTGAGGATGATACTTTAATAAGCTAGCCATTTATAGCCAGCATACAATGCTAAAAAGGAAATGGAACTTTATGCTGTTTTCTATAATTGGGTAATATTTTGTTAGCACTGCAGGTCAGTAAAGCTCTCTGCCAAAAATATCTTTCATTATAAACCAGCTTATAAACGCTTTATTAAAACCTCTCATGTGGTAGTAGAGAAGACTACTAATCAAAACCCCGTTTTGTGCCTTTTTAGGAATGTACCAACAGCCTCTCAAATCTGGAAGGTGGGCAGTGAGATAAAGATATTTGTCTGTAAGGAGCTGTGCTAGACATGCTCATTCTTATGATCTGATTGAAGGGCTCACCATCAGAGGTTGCAGGCTTATGGAACATCTGTCCCTGGTGGATAGTATATGCCCTAGGAGAAGTGCTTTTCTGTGGACCTTGCTGCTGTTGGCATGTTTGTTGCACGCTGGCACTTTTCTAGTAAGTGGCCAGCTAGGTCAGTGCACTCTTGATGAACTGGCATTATGTTTAATTACACTGGGCGTACCCTCCTGGAGTGCAGATGGATTTTTGTTGTGCTGTTGGTGGTCTCGTCTGAGGGCTCTCTGTCATCTTTCAGATCAGTCATGATGCCTATTCTTGGTTTCCTGTTGCAGCCTCTAGTTTAGCTGTTGCTCACAGCCAGGTCCCAGACTACTTGTGTGACTTGGTGTTGCTCTGTGCCTCGTTCTCTCTGTCCTGAAATGCCTCTGTGGCTAATGTGCAGGGCTTAGAAATTGAAAGCTCTCTCCACATCTACTACAATAAACAGGTATTTACAGTTTACTTACTGTCGGAGCACCCCTATAAAAGGCCAGCAAGCCATTCTGATGCCGATCTTGAATATTAATATCTTACAATATTAATAAGAACTATGTGAAAATTATCTCTGAGTTCCAAACAAGACAAGCCTTTCAAGGAGGCAAAGCACCCACAGCCTCTGCTGTGCACCCAAACCTGGGAAGTTTGAGATACTGAGATCCTATCAGCAGCTGAGAACTTTTATTTGGCTGTTTAAATTTCAAATAGGAATGGGATTTCTGAAATGACTTTGAATTCACTGATTTTCCATGGTGTCTCTGAATTATTTAAGGCCTTTTTAAAAAAATACTACCAAATCTTGTTATTCAGGTTGTTAAATTACTTTTTTCCCCCTATTTTTTTCCTTTGTAAAAAAATTTTAAATGCTGAGTGCTTTATCACTCTTTCTGCTGGTGCAGTTCTGACATCAAGAGAAAAAAATTACACTTTATGACAAAGAAGTAACTGCTCTAGAAAGACGGGAAGAAGAGTTTTAAAGTCAATTCAATCAGATTGATTCACAGCACAAACTTCTTGAATTTTTGTTACATACTATCACTTAAATATAAGAGTTGTGAACTGCAGCCAAAATTCGACAGAAAAGAAGCTGTGTTTCCTCTTAATTGTACAGAAATGAAATTGCTTGGGTGGGCAATGTGTAAATGCAACACAGTGTGCACAGAAAGCTGTTTTATTTAAGTGTGATAAGAAAAAATACAAACCGAAGTGTTCTGCATTGTTTTGACATTGTTTCACATGGATCAGGAAGCAAAGTCTATCACAGAAAAGAACAGGAGGATAGTGGCCAGGGAATCCCATAATTGTTTGAGCTTGCTGGCATTGATACTTCATTTGATTGGTGTTTGTGTATTTTTAGCCTCTGGAGCACTTGGAGGCCTTTTGTTATTGCTTAGGCTGGAAGATACATCTTCAGTTTCCATGCCTTTTTCATGCACCTTCTATGTTGAAATAGCTGCTGGTAAAGTTTTGTCATGGAATTGTTGAGATCATTACTTAGTGTTTGTAAGACACTTGCAAAATGCTGTAGAAATTAGATAAATTGCCATTTTTAGTTTATTTTATTTTTACTTTTATTTTGACCTTTCATCACACACAAATGAAAAGATTGATTATAACATGATTCCAGGAGTCTACATCAGCTTTAATAGTCTTAAAAGCTTTTTGTTAGGATTGGCAGTGTGGAAAAGGTGACTCAGGTACCTTCTGCTATGAGATACTGCTGAAGTGATGGAACATGCTGCAATATTTCTGCATCCAGTGGGCTGAAAAGTGGTTTTCACATACTTTATTTAGATCCTAACCTCCATTCTTTTTACACTGGAGATTTGCAGTTTTAAGGGTGACAGTGTATTAACAGTCTGTTGTACTTTTGCATCAATGACAAAGAGCTAAAAGGGAGATTAGGTGGTTTAAAACAAAGTGGTGAACTGAAAGAGCTGGAGTCTGCTTTAGCTCCATTCCTGACCTCACTGTTTGACCTTGGACTAAAAGTTCAATATGTTTCTGCCTCAGTTCTCACATCAGTTAAATAGGGATAACAGTATGAGCCAAAGAGGACTATTGCTGGAAGATTTTTTGTTTGTATAGACTTCCTGTGAATCTCTAGCACTGAAAAATATCTATTTGTGAGCTCAAAAATGTTTGTGTTAATTCCTAGAACTACATTAGCAGCATGACATTTTCATATTACATCACATAAAAAATAGTTCACTGGAAGATATAAAGACTATCTTTGAGCTTCCCAGGTCATAATTTTCTGGTAATGCCTTCATAACTGTCTCAATGTGGA